TTTTATAAATATTTATTAATTATTTCATCAAAAATTCATGTCTGAAACAAATGAAAATGTTTCATATGAAGGAAAATCTTCAACAACATCTTCTGATTTTCTTCATGAATATTTACAAAAAACAAATTTATCAACAACAGCAAGTCTCAATCAATTTATAAAAGATCATCATATTTCACGTGATGAAAATGAAACAGATGAAGCATTTACAAAACGTGTTAAAAAAATTAATTATTTAAATTTAGCACAACAATTAATTCGTAATAGTAGTCAAAATTCAACTACACGTCAGATTATTAAACCTGAATTAAAATCATTAAATCATGTTAGCATATATATTTGTTGTTGTTTTGTATTATTTTTTTTATAAAATAAATTTTATCATTTAGGAATCTTTACCAAAGTCTATAGCACCAATTAAACGAATGAAACCTGTTTTTTCACCAGCTGAAGATCCAGATTTTGATGATGAATTTGAATTAGATGATAATAATTCTCGAGATATTTATGATGAATCAACATCATCATCATCATCATCAAGTGATGATGAAGATATTCATCTTCAACAACATCGTTCAATATCATTTAAAACTAATCATACATTTGCAAATGATATTAAACAAAAATTATCAAATCTTGCTGCTGATGTTGTACGTACATTTGGTACATCAAATATAATAGGAGATGATGATTTAACTAAACCTTTATCAACAACTACTTCATTTTCATCACGATTATTCTCTAATCGAATAAAAGAAACAAATAAGTAATTGAATAAAAATAAAATTTTTTTTTTTTCGAATAAAAAAATTCTTTATTTATAGTCAAACAACAATACAAGAATTATCTTCTCAAATAAATAATGATCCTGATATTGTTTCAGATAATGATGATGATAATAATGATGCAGATTTATTATATACAAATGAAAGTTTATTACCACAAGTTGATTGGGAAAATCTTGAAAGACAACTTAAACAAGCACAAATTGAACGAGAACGATATGATAAGGTATTTAATTCAAATAGTATATAAATAAAATCTTATCAACTTATTAGAAACAAAGAATAATCAAGCTTATTAGAAAATTAGGAAATACTATAATTTCCGTGCTTGATTTAAGGACATTGCAATCATTTCGTGACTCAAGACTTTTTCCTTTTTTTTCGTCAGCATTATGTAGTCTAAAGTAGTATCTCTCTAGTGATTACATTTTTCTTTTTTTGGTTCAAAAATCCAAAACAAAACTATACATTGCTTTACAAGCTGAAACTTTTTTCACGTCTATTGAACACTCATTAGGACGAGTATATTTTTCTAATTTTTGATAGATCTTACAAAAAAAACGTGCATTTTTTTAGGATACTTTTGTATTTGAAAAACTGAAAATTTTATAATCATTCGTTCTTCATGAAACTTCAGAGAAGGAGAAGAGTACTCTTAAGAAGTTCAAGGTCATTCATAAGGATTTATTTACTCACGCATAGAAAATGAAGTAGAAATTTTTAGTTTTAATATAAGTGTATATTTTAAGTAAAGAAAATTTTTTTAATATAGAGTTTTCTCTCATTTTAATTAATTTGATAATTATTGAAACTATCTTACAATTACAAAACAAACAAAAAAAAAATTCAAATTTAATAATAAATATATGATTGATTGATGGAATTATTTATTCTG